GGATATTCCATTTTAGTCTGTGGATTAGAAATATCACACAGTGAAACAGTAGCATTTACTGGATAACGTTTCGGACACTATTTGTTGTACATATTCATATCAGGTAGCTCTACAACTTCGAGACAGTCTTTATATATTCCTAATTTTCTCTCTTTCCCTGTGATGACAAGGGTAGTAGAATTTTCCATATATCTGGGACAGGTGCAGAATCATTTCGATTGCATGTGTTTGGTGATGATTCGATAAACAAAGATTCGGTTATCAGTCTCTCCCTCCATCCAAATAAGTTAGTTTTCAACACTTCCATATTAGATTTGTTTATTTGATATATAGCGCACAGTGATACAGTATTTTTTACTTGATTACGTTTCCAGCATAAATTATTGCTCATAATCATATCAATGTTTTCAATACTATCACCCTACTGTGTGATTGTATGTCATCGCATGCAGAGCTATAGCCGAGCTTTTCTCTAGATTTTTTATCTTATTAAGATCTACTAATCTTGATCTATATTTGACCTATATTTGACCTTTAATCTTGATTTAGTTAAGTTTTTGTGCTATGTTATTCTAATCGACCCTGGTCGACTGCTTTGACCTATATACTTGACCTCGCAATCATTGCAAGGGATCTGGTAAAGCAGATTACTTTGCTTAATTGCATCGATAGGATCTTTTAACCTACAAAGCTTGGTTTAAATGCCACTTTAATCCCAGCCTTATTGAGAATTCTTCGTAATGCTTCCTTGTATGGTAACACAGCAGAGGCCTTGAATTCTCTCTTAACCCTGTCACCATTATTACTATTAGTGGTGTGATTATTATTAATCGAACCTGTATTACGACTACTACTGCCAATGCTAATATTTTTCCTTCGATACCTTATAAATTTATTTATAAATTTTGGTGGGTAATTATTGAGACGTAGGGTATTCTTGATGTGTCTAATTTCTTGTCGCAGATTTTTCGATCTACTAGTAAGCTTTTTCGCTCTATCACTTAAGCATTTGACTAGGCCTACTTTAAATGAAATGGGATGGGATCATTCAAAGTCTAAGTAGCGATTCGAATGGGTAGGTTTCTTATAGACACTAGTCTCTATATTTCCTTCTTGTGTTCTTTTGATCTTGCAATCCAACATTGCTAGCTCACCTTCTTCAATTTCTAAGTCACAGGTAAATTGGATTGCACTTACTACTGAATTTATATGTGCCAAGAACCTATTGATGTGAAAATGTTACTTACCGATAGTTTATTTTGAAAGTTGAATCAACCGGTAGTCAAATCATTTTCACTTTGAAAAGTATATCTGAATAAAAACCAACACATTCAGAAATACTTTGATAGAGAAATATTTTTGTATGGTTTCTGTTCAATCTGAACACATGATGCTTTTAAAAAGATAAAGTTTTTGATAATAATTTGAAGTATCTTTCTGTATCGAACCAAGCATATTCTACTAGTGTTTGTAAGATATAAAATTTCATATTAATCCTATCATTTTATTATTTTAGTATCAAATTATATGTTATTCAACAATTCATATGATTTTTCTACATGTACATTACAGGAAAGAGTGGATATCTTTTTACTCCATTTGATTCTTAAGATGTCAAATATACTGAAATCCATAAGATGTGAACACTTTTTTCATTTATATTGACTAGAAACATTGTGATGCTGACTATATAATGAGTTCATTTACATGACTGAAGTCAGTTTACGTTGGACTGTATGTGGCGGGTGAGTTGATTTTCTTTTATACCTTTTGACATTACTGAAACACCTCATTTACTGGGTTTGATAAGAGACACTTAGTTGGAGTTCTATAACGTCAAACTCCTGAAACCTCAGTTGTTTGAAACGTGGCCATCAGTATATTGATCAAACTTTCATCTTCTGGCATAGAACACAAACTTTATTTCTCAACCAGAGAACAGAACTTCATGGCTTGGCAAGTAAAAGAGTACCAAAGAAGTACTTCACTTTGCTGAATGTTATGTATTTATACATCTGTAGTTGTGTCACAGTTCATGGTCAGGTTGTCCAGTAAAAATATCAGATTACTTCAGTTTGTTTAACTCTTTCGTAGATGTCGTTATAGAAGTCTCACTGCATTCGTTGTCACATTTGATATGAACACTTTTTCCTTCCAATTACTCGGACTATGTAGCCCTGTAGGGTTAAGACAATAACAAAATGTAGGTCCTCCTGACCATGTGGCATAAGAGTGACTGAACATTTGGGATATATTCCTTACTACACAAATATAAATGTAAGTTTCAGAAGTGATGTGTGTTGGATATATTGGCTGATAACACAGATAGTATTGGTTGAACTGGTTAACCATTTCACTTGAGAACTTTAATTAAAACTCATTAATGAGTGCCAAAATCTCAGCACCTACTGAAGAAGCTGGACTTACTTTTGACAACTTACACTACTTGTTGTGTAAGATATATTTCTAAGTGCTTATTACCTTAGACTATGCTGCTCAGCATTTCAGTCTGTTCTACTCGATGGCTATGAAACGTGACTAATAAGAGTGAAAGGGATCAAAGGGCTCCCGATTGTATAACCACTGTTGTTTCAAACATAGTGGTCATATTGTAATAATACTTGTAATACTCTGTTGCGATACATGGCCGAGTTGCTCTACCTGTTAGCAGACGGGCTCCGATGAGGATGCCTCGATACTGTTTATTCATGGTGAAATTCAGGCCTATATAGAAACGGGGAACTACAAGTATCATAACAACAAGAACTGATATCCGTGGCACAAGATGTGGCTATCGTGCCTCATAGACAACGCTCTGACGTTTGAAGCGATGGGTATTGGGGTTCGAGTCAAAGTGGGAATAACGTCATTCACTGGGATGCAGATAAATCCAGCTGACAAGTCCCAAATAGGACGAAACGCGTGTCCTAGATTCCTCTCCTAGTCACCAAGACCAGTGTAGTAGCCATGCATTGCAGTCCCACTATATGAAGAATATGAGGCATAGTGTTAGATGAAAAGCGTAGGTCAGCTGCTGAGTTTGTAATCCTTTATCAACTAATATGTCACTGTCATGTATTGCACGTGTCGACCCACTATCTATCAAGAGGTATAGTGTTAGATGAAGCATGATCCAGTTAAGAAATGAGCTTTAATCACCATTCAATCTTTTCGATTTCCTATCGTTCACCTCGTTTCACTGGATTTATCCGTTAGTTTTGAACAAACAGAAGATCTCAAAGAGAAGCAGAAAGTCATATCAAGATGCGTATTTGAGCAGCTTATGTGCTGATGAATACTGAACGATTTCGTTTAGTTAAATCAATACCCTTAATTAGTTTGAAGTTTTGTCAGAACTTATCAATTTTAAGGTGGAATTCATCATAGACTGATGTCAGTTGAGGAACCATTGAAAAGCTGGAAGAAATAGACAGCCATTTCATCTTAGTACAAAACTCTTCAGCAATGGGCACTTATAGCCCCACCAGGATTTAGCCCAGGACCTTCAGGTTTCGTAGTGGGAAGGTTACCACTGAGGTACCGGCTAGGAACCCAATGGTTTATATTTTCCTACTTTTTTCCTGGGTTCGACCCCTGGTGGAGAAATGAGTGCACACTACTGAGTAGTCCCATATCTAGATGAGACACCTGTTCAATGCCTCCAGGTTTTTGATGATTCTTCAACTGATGTTACTTTTCGAAAAAATGAGAGAATATTTGATACATAATAATGAGTTAGAGGAAACGACATAATACAATGGAATATTCAAATGATGTTAAGCTGGAGACTGCCTACCTACAACTAAAATGAAGCGTCATAAAGATGTGCAGACTCAGTGAACACATAGATCCTAATGAAAAGCCTGAATGAAACCTATTTTGTAATGATATATAGAAAACAGGTTGAGTTAGTTCACTAGAATTAGAACTGAGAATATCATTATTATCATTTTGACTATCAAGATAGATGTGATTTGGAAAACTAATATTGATACTAGGTGATGATTGAAGGTGAAATGGAAATTTGGACTGCGGTGAGATTCAAGCCAGTGGCCATGGGGTTTCCGGCCTTATGGTATACCAACTGAACTACGAGGCTCGACTGCTGAACAGATTTTTACTATCAGGCAGTAGTAATGTGTCACAAATTCACATGGTAGTCAGGAAAAAAACCCTTGGTGACTGAAGAGAAATCAAAATCTGTTGAGCAATCGGGGCTCGTAGCTGAATTGGTGGAGCACCGGACCGAAAACCCGTAGCCACTGGTTTGCCCTCCCACCGTAGTCGAGTTTTTCTTTTAACTTCCAATCATCATCATCCGGTATCATTATCGTTATTGTAAATGGGTTCCAAGATCACCTAACGACAGGTAATATATTAGTGACCATCAGTTATTGAAAAGCTCTCTGACTTTTCAGAGTTACCGCTGGTCAGATCGGAAAGATTGATTCACACTACCTTGGCGTCGGCCGCATCAAGAATTTACCGGGGCTCTTTTAGATCACTCTAGAACTCACAAGACAGTGGAGCAAACTAGAAATGCAAGTATTTACAAGATTCTACTTTATCTATCACTAAGAAATAAACACAGTAATTACTAAGTACTGACGTCGGTCATTTACGCATATATCATTCAGTCCTTCTGCTTGCTTCGTTTTCGCTATTCCTCATCTAGAGTGGATTACAGTTTTTCTGAATGTTATAATTTCCACAGGGAACTATGAAGAAATATTACAGTCTGCTTGCATCTATTTGTATCATTCTCATCACAAAATAAGAATCTTTAACACGTTTGCTTTGGTCTCATGAAGTTATAGTTCTACTCATAACCGGAACTGTAACTCCACTAATCATTGAAATAGATTATCATTTCTGTTCTCATTTTAGTTGCGCCATGTTGTGACATATTTCTATACTGTGAATCTAAAGTGTTTGGAACTATTTAGCAACAAGTGTCATTTGTACCGATAGTGATAAATAAAATGAACATGTAAAACTAATGAGTCTGTCAATTAAGTTTATTGTTTTAAAATCGGTGAAATAAACTGAACAGTCACAGATAATTAAGTTTCTGATCGTGTGTAAACTTGTATCATTACATTACTTTATGTTGGATAACTAGCGGGGCTTCCAAAACCAATATGTCGTTGATCAGTTGAGCAGAAATAGATAATGGATCGATTGTTTCAGGTATTTCATACGAATAACTGAATTCAGCAAACGATTCGTGATTTCCTGAGTCACCATTTTGCTTATTACAGTGACGACCAGAAATCATTAAACGATTGAAATCAATAGTAATACACAAATCTTCAGGTTTGTATATGGGATCAATTGGCATTTCAAAATGCAATCGTTTATTACCACTTCCATCATCCACAATTGAGCAACCGCGATCACCTGAAAAAGAAAAGAAAAACAGAATACACACATTCAGTTTGGAGGTTTGTTGCAAATTTGTTGATTGATCTCAAGGTTTTATCCGTCATGAATTGACATCACATGGATAATCATAGTATAGGACTCCTCAGGAGTGCACACCTACGACCCCTCTCGGGATCAAAGCCAGTACGTTACCACTGAGTAACTGGGGTGGAATCCAATGGTCCATAACTTTCTACTTCTGTCAGTTCTTGCAACAGCGTAACCTTCATCCAGTGCTGTCATTGAGTATCTATCCTCATATCCGACTTGGTTGGCCCCATAGGTCATGACTTCTCATTGGAACTTTGGGAATCTCCTCTCGAAGTGATTCATGAATGAGCACTAGAATTATTGAATTAGCAGCTTTGTAAGATATACAATAAAGTTAAAAGAATAAATTTATCATTTTTGTAATAGGATTATTACCTTTGATAACGAGTGCCTTTGAGTGAAGCACTTCTTGACTTTGACCATAAGTTTTTGGTCGAATACCAATCTGGCCGCTTTCATTGAAAGTAATTGATTGGTGTTCAGGTACACTGACTGGAGCTGCCAGCATCAAAACACCATCCTGAAATGAATAAATTTATTGTAAACACTTGTATTTTCCCCTCTTGAATAATCATATTCATATTGTCTCAAACAAAACTTACACTAGTTAGATTACATTTCAATTGACTATGATTGATAGACTGGGGTAGTTGAATCATACGACAGAATTCACGAGTACCATATAAGTTGTTTGTTTTCATCTCTTTCTTCGCTTGTACTGTAATGTGATTATCAGTTGATGTCACCTTGATATCTTCTGGATCAACACCTTTTACATCGAAACGTACACTGAAATGAAGCTATAAATGAAGAACAATATATGATGAATGTTAATTTTTAAATGGTTTATTAAAAGTAAAATAAAAGAATGAATTTAATTCTTACTTTTCCATCTTCGCCTATCTCATATGCATCCTTAAGATAATCATTCAATGAGCCAACTGATGGGATATCATTAGCACAAATTTGATTTCGTATATCATCGACTTGACGCTCTAGTTGATTCATGAGCAAAAGTGGATCACATGTACCCACATGACCAAAAGTATTTAATGGCTGTAAAATGGAGTAATATATGAAGTTATCAGTTTTTAAGCTTCAAGACAATGAATTAAAACGGTTCAGAAGTTATTACAATATTCTATGGGGAAAAAAGTTAGGGAAATGAAATCAGTATTTAACTTTCTTTGTTTATATCAACTAAAGGTGTTGAAGTTGTAGGTGATAAATGGCACTCTCACTGAATTTTTGGAGAATCTTATCAGAAGTAGCAACCACCACGGACTGACCTCAGTTGCGGAATGGTTGGGAATCTGGGAGCACTGGACAGCTGTTTCTTCCTAGTACGGGACACCTCGGCGGTACACATTCATGACCCGGCTAAGAATCGAACTCAGGACCTTCGGGTTTCGAGGCTAATGCGTTAACCATTCAGCCACTGGGTTGGTTCTTGGTGGTTCACAATTTCCAACTTCTGTCAATTCACAACACAGCGCGACTATCACCCAAGGTCTTCAATTAGCATCCACTTCATTTCCGACTGCTTGATCCTACAGGTCACGGCTTCTCATGATGAATACTACTTCTAAATTAAAAATCCCCATTCATCTCAAGAATACAGAATTTCATTAGTTTAATAGGCATCTCATTAGTTTGTTTGCGTAAAGGTAGTAAGTATACCGATCAATGTAAGTCAACTAACCAGATCCAGGTGACTGAACTAGTTCGGCTGTATGGACTGAAGTTGTCCAGGTACACGGCTGATAAGCTCGGTTGCAAACAAGCGAAACGGTCATTTGATGTTGAAATCACTATAATCTGGTTGCAAAATACTACACATCAGCTTGAATGGTTTCTAAAGACTCATTTTGTTCAGGGGTAGTTTCTTCACCAAGTAATTCGCTTCATCTTCTATATTTAACTAATTTCAACAATAAATCCTGATAACACTCTTGAAGTCAGTATGTTTAACGTTAGTGGTCATACAATTTTTCATGTAGAAAGATTTGTAAACTGAGAAACGTCATTGTAATATAGTGTTAGTTAGTAAACTCACCTCGCCTGGTTAACTAGTTTACTAGTTACTAGCCGGTCCTAAGCCCGGGTAAAGAGGGAAGGTTGGGCATAGGGCTAGCAACCCTACCCCGTAAAACAAATCTAACCGCTAAAGAAACTTCAAAGCACAAACAAAATATAAAAAATGAAAACAAACTTATACCCCGCTGGAATCGGAGAGGCGAAATGACGCCAGTTGGTGAAAGCCTTCGGGAAGCCAATTGGCCGATGTGTCTTCTCTCGATGAAAGCGAAAGTAAACGTGGGGACATGGAATGTCCGCACGATGTTTGAACCCAGTAAGGCAGCCCAGATTGCAAAGGAGATGAGAAGGTATAACATCGAAGTGCTTGGGATTTGCGAAAGCAGATGGAATGGGAGTGGACTCTCCAAACTGTCAACTGGAGAATCAATAATCTACTCCGGTCACCCAGACGCCAACCACGAGCACACTGAGGGAGTGGCTATCATGATGTCCTCAAGAGCATCGAAGGCTCTCATGCAGTGGGAACCAATCTCCTCCAGGATCATGACAGCAAGATTCAACTCAAAAGGAAGAAAGGTCACAATCATACAATGTTATGCACCTACAAATAATGCAGAGCAAGAGAAAAAGGAGGAATTCTACAGACAACTTCAATCAACACTGGACAAGACGTCAGTTGGCGATATCAAAATTCTAATGGGCGACATGAATGCCAAACTGGGAGGGGACAACACGGGAAGAGAACTAACCATGGGTCGAGAGGCGCTAGGTGAAATGAATGAGAATGGAGAATTGTTTGCAGAATTCTGTGCATTCAACGATTTGGTGATTGGAGGCAGTGTGTTCAGGCACAAGGATATCCACAAAGCGACATGGACTTCACCAGATGGACACACTAAAAATCAAATCGACTTTATCTCAATCTCAAGAAAATGGAGACGCAGTCTACTTAACACAAGGTCAAGAAGAGGAGCAGATGTAGGTTCAGACCACTATCTAGTGCAAGGAACCTTCCAAATCAAGTTAAAAGCCTTCAAGGAAGCTGGTGATAGACCTCAATTCAAGTACAACACTCGGAAACTGAAGGATGAAACTACAAAGGAGATCTTCAAAGCAGCCATCAAGACAAAATGGGAGACGTCGAGGGACATCCCTGAAGAAACCTGTGTGGAAGAACACTGGAAGTCTTTGAAAGCTGTGTGGAAAGAAACCTGCACAGCCGTATTAGGAAGGAAGAAGAAAGAAGACAAGGAATGGATCTCGACGGATACCTGGAAGCTGATAGAGGAGAGGAGGATGGTGAAGCAGAAGATAAACCAGTGCAAGGATGCTCAACGACAAGAGGAACTGAGCACAATGTATAAAACACTGGACAAAGAAGTGAAGAAGAGTGCACGCAAAGACAAAAGACACTTCTACGACACACTGGCAAGTGAAGCAGAACAGGCTGCAGGTAAGAGAGACCTGACGACATTGTATCAAATAACCAGGTTGCTATCAGGGAAGAGACCAACACAGATGAAACCAATAAAAGATGAAGAAGGAAATTTAATTACAAAAGAAGAGAAACAGAGGAAACGATGGGCCGACCACTTCAAGAAGCTCTTGAATCGACCACCACCTGCACTTCGTCCAGAAATACCACCTGCAGCCGCTGAATTACAAGTGAACATAAATCCCCCAACGAAAATGGAAGTCCTGAACGCCATAAAGCTACTGAAAGGTGGGAAAGCAGCAGGACCAGATGGAATACCGCCAGAAGCACTGAGAACAGATGCAGAGACAACAGCGGACATGCTCACACCACTATTGCAGAAGGTGTGGAAGGAAGAGAAGGTACCTGACGATTGGAAGAAGGGTTACCTTGTCAAACTGCCGAAGAAGGGAGACCTCAGTGCTTGCAAGAACTGGCGCGGAATCACTCTCCTGTCCACCCCAAGTAAAATATTAAGCCGCATCATCCTGGAGAGGCTTAAAGACGCACTGGATTCAAAACTGCGACCGGAACAGGCAGGCTTCAGGAAGTACAAATCATGTGCTGACCAAATTGCAACGCTTCGTATCATCATAGAACAGAGCGTAGAATGGCAATCAGCTCTATACCTCAACTTCATCGACTTTGAGAAGGCCTTTGACAGCGTCGACCGAGAAGTAATTTGGAAACTGCTTCAATACTACGGAGTACCGCAAACCTTTATCCGCCTCATTCAACAACTATATGAAGATGCCACATGCCAAGTAATCCACAATGGGAAGCTCAGTGATGCCTTTGAAGTGAAGACAGGAGTGAAACAAGGTTGCCTACTATCCCCCATGATATTCCTTATTGTGGTGGACTGGATCATGCAGCAAACAGTAGGCAGCGAGAAGAGGGGGATACACTGGACGACGGAAAAGAACCTAGAAGACTTGGATTTCGCCGATGACTTGTGCCTAATGTCACATAAACTTGAAGATCTGCAGGCAAAAACTAACAAGTTGACAGAAGAGGCAGCTAAGACGGGACTTCAGGTGAATATAGAGAAGACAGAAGTGATGAAGATACCGCACCACCACCATCAACAACAACAACAAACTCCAATCACCGTCAACGGGAGAAACTTGAAGGAAGTAACCTCCTTCACTTATCTAGGAAGCACTGTTTCAACTACAGGCGGGACGGACGAGGACGTCAAAGTCAGAATCGGAAAAGCAAGACAGGCGTTCATTAGCCTGAAACCAGTGTGGAGATCTTCTGCACTCAGCATGCGGAACAAGATACGGATTTTCAACACCAACGTCAAGTCAGTGCTCTTGTATGGCTCAGAGACTTGGCGCGTCACGAAAGGTATTTCCAATAAACTACAGACATTCATCAACAACTGCTTACGCTCGTTGCTGAAGATCAGATGGCCAGAAAAAATAAGCAACAAGGAACTCTGGGAACGAAGCAACCAAGAACCTATCACGCAACAAATATGCAGGAAGAAGTGGAGATGGATTGGGCATGCACTGAGAAGGCCGACTGAGGACATCACGCGTCAGGCCCTCGAGTGGAATCCCTATGGGAAGCGACGAGTTGGACGTCCGAGGGTGACATGGAGGAGGTCATGCGAGGAGGAAATGAGAGCTTCTGGGCTGTCGTGGAACCAGGTTCAAAAGATCTCAGAGAACAGAGGTCACTGGAGGCGTGCTACTGAAGCCCTATGTTCCACTCGGAACCCAAGGGACTAATAATAAAAAATAATAATAGTAAACTCACCAACAAAGTGAACATCCCTCGTCTTAGACGTTGAATATCATCATTCCATCTTTTCCATGAAGAATTTATCCAATCATTTATTTTCTGTGACCAATCATCAGCGTATAATGTTAGTGAGTTTTTATTATTTTCATCTTCCAAGTTATTGAGTAAATCACGTCTTTGTTTCTCAAATGTACGTTGTTCACAATTCACAGGAATACCGACTAGTTGACTTCCAGTACCCGACATTTATGAATGTTCACTCTATGAGATTTTCAAGTAGACAAAATTCACAAGAGTATGCAAAATGTTACTTTTATGATATAAATTATATGTCTATTTTATTCAACAAAAGCCCTACAATAGAAAACTTGGAAAGTGTAAGTTTTTTAAGGTCAAGGTCATTCTACAAATCATTTCAACTCTCATGCATTTTGATTGGATGAATGGATTTTTTTTCTCTCTCGCTCTTTCTGTTTTCCAAGGACAGTTTGAAGTCATAACATATTCTATGTGGACAGACAGACTTATACACGACTATTGTTGGGTAACTTCTTGAACTTGTTAAGAGAATGTTAATTAATAGTCAACATTACAGGAAAGGCTGAAGCAATTACATAATATAGCATTTGGCGGTCTTCTAGATTGATTCATTTTGATGACAATGATTTTATGGTTTTCAAGTCTAAAAACATTTCCTTTCCCGATACAAGTTTAAAATAAGCAAAGAATATGAAAACAGCACCTTTGAATGGCAAGGTTATGTGACTGGTTTCTTCTGCACTATTGTGGACGTTGTTCTACTTCCTACCCATTTTGCGTGGTTGCTGATAAAGCTTTCTGGGTACCCATTCTTCATTAGTACACTTCACAAAGTCGTCATTTCGTAGTCTATTGTGCTGCTGTAACAAACTTTCGTGGCTCTTTTGAACAGCACTCTGACCAACTCACTTTGCATTGGATATGGACAAAGCTTCTAAAATGAAGGTACCGTCCTGTCCATGAAAGTTTTCTACAGATGGACCATTCGATCGATCCATTGACTCTTCTCACAAATGAGACATCTAAGAAACTAATCATTTTATTTTCTAGTGCTCAGTCGTAAAGGTCAGGTTTGGGTGACATGAATTGAAACTCTTTACTAGTGCTTCTACCTTCATTTCGTCATTACGTATGATGAATATGTCACCATGTCGCGCTGGTACAGTTTCATCCGGTTCTAAAGCGCTTCAAGTTACTATTTTCCAGACTTGGTAGAAATAAATCAGAGAAAAGAGGACGCAAAGGGCTTCCCAATGCGTCCCCATCAGTTTAACTGAATAATTGTCCGTTGAACTGGGACTGGAACCTGAAATCCACTATTATCAGAACTCACAGTTAATCATATAACCTATACTCAACACATTCACCCATAAAAACATCTATTTCTACCCTATGCATTACCATTTAACCTGTACAGCTGTTCAATTCTCTGCTGTTACGCCTAAATAGATGTACAGTACAAATAGCAAGTCTTCATCCAAAAAGGAAAATGAAAGGCGACCTAATGTTCTCATGATGAAGTCGAGACACAAGATAAACAAGTTCTCAAGTCAAAATATTGCACCAAGGAACAATGGAAGGGATCCCAAACCACCATGAAGTTGAATAGTGAAGAAGATATGACAGAATAGAATGAAAAGCCAAGCTTTAGATGAAGTAATATTGAAGTAAAACATAGTCACACTACTTGGTACTAATAAGTAGCATAAGACTACAGATATAAAAGGGATACAGGGTTACCATTAGGTAAAAGAGAACAAGGTAGGAGAATTAAGTTTCTTTCAAACGGTGTATATCCTAACATATAAGCTTCGATCACTTAGCAAGGTAGTCCTGGATAGTCTCATCAAAAGATGTTTTATTCAACAGTGGAGTTAGAATTTTCTCCTTGATAATTCCAAGTGATGAGGATGATTTAAACACGAAATTAAACTGATATCCAAAGGGGAGTAAATTTTCTTCTTCGACCATCTAAACAACGAAAAAGATATGGAAGAGGCTCCAAAGAGATGGACTTTAACTCTGTATTTTTTTCTATGACAACTAAGTTTTTGTAGTCTGCATCACTTAATGTACAAAAAAGGAAATGGGACTGTTGCCACTGGAGTTTCGCACCTTATTACCAATAAGTTGGCCATACTGAAACCTACTGCTGAAATATCTAACTCTTTAGTATGATACATTGAAATGGAAAACGAAAAAAAAGTTTAAAAATTTAAAAATATTTTCAGTGACAACACATCTTGGTTTCAAATTTCTCAAAATTGAGACAGGTTATGCACTAGAAAGAACAATAAGTGTTATTGCTTGTATTATCCCCTCGTTGCATGGACCGAATTGGTGATAAAACGCCGTGTCATTTGAAGCGGTCACTCCTGAGTTCAAGCCTCAGTGGGGCCGATATTGCTCACTGGGAAGCAGGTACATCCAGCTAACGGGTCCCAAATCGGATGAAACCCATGTCCTGGATTCCACCAATAGCCATCAATAATAATAATAATATGATGATAATAATAATAATAATAATAATAATAATAATAATAATAATAATCGCCATATTCCAGACAATATTTATGACAGTATGGAATTTTCAGCATATAATTTTTCAATAAATTCACTCCCAGGACAATACTTTTAGACGAAACAGTTATTACATAAGAATGATGTTAATAATAACAGTATTCAAGGCAATAATGTGAAACAGCTAGCTGGTTCTGGATGGGCATCCGGTCCATAGGGAAGAACCAACAGGAATGTAAGCGTAATTTTAGTGGTGGTGGTTCATTTAGACGATAAAAATATCTGCAACTCAAGCTAAGTATCTTACGGATGATGTGCTTTTTCGCACTGAAAAGTCCATTTCCATATAACGTAACATTTTTTCTCCATTTTGTTATTGACTAGCGAAACGGAGAGTTGAAAACAGTTTAAAAATGTTCAGGGGTATATGATACGTTCAAAGGACATAGTCAAATGATTAAAGTAAACTGAAAAGAAAGAATTTGATGAAAAATGTTCAATGAATAAATTTGGTAGCCCAAGGTTCAAGCAGACCGCCTTTGCAATAGGTGTTTCAGTAGCCAGATATATTTAAAGATTATTTTCAATAAAATCAATAGATTTTGTTTTCTAGGTTTTCTAGGTTTCAGTTCATCAAAATGCAGTGCTACTATGCATGAAGAAGTGAGACTAATTTTCATTTAAAACACGCATATACGCTTGTAATTAACCACTGATTCTACTCAGAATACAAATACTCGGAAACACATTTTCACTAAGATGGCTGTCAACATAAAAAGTAACCCGTCTTACCAAAACAGAATATTATGAAAATAAGATTGTAATTACGTATACTGGTTAAATCAATCACAAAGTAGATGAATCTGCGGCAGACAGGGCTTTATGATGGGAACAGCAAAGATAAAGGTTGGACGTACCTTTTTTGAATACATAATGCTGATTCAAACTTCTGGATGGCTAGTGCTTCAGCTATAGACAACTGCCTTGATCTTCTTTCCTTCGAGTGGTTTGATCGAACCCTGTAGAGAATTTTGAATGAGTTCTCAAAAGGAGCTAAGTGGCCTGAGTTCACGAGGTGTTCTGTTATCGAACTGAAGATGCATTTCCTTTGTCCCTTTGCCAGCCAGTCTGGGTAGTGTTCGCAAGCATATTTTACAAGCGGACGGATGGTACGGCCGATGTACTCAGCCCCACAGGATCCAGTAAACTGGTATACACACATTGATGTAGCTCAATGTGTCGGCTTGTCTTTCACACATTGACCAAAATATTTCTTGCAGGAGAAAATTATCCGAAGGTTGGCGGCGGAGTGTGCTCTGTTTATGGATTTTGACAGTCGTTTCCCGAGAATATCTGTGGCGCAATATCGTTTTTGAATTCAAGATTCAACAAAAAAATCTTTTTCGGCGCCAAATATGTTCTGATATTCCGGATGGCAAGACAGTACACATTCCAGTGTCAACGAGTATACCTTCATCAATTCGAAGAAAATTGTTTCAATGTCAGTCTCAATAAGCACAACACTAACAGTAATACGAGTTTGACATGAAGTTTGCATTTTAAGCTTATGGCAAAGTAAATAGTTTTGCTGGGGTTATTCGCATGACTTTGTTTAAATTTAAACTATTTCTTATCTCAAGTATATTAACGTCGCTTTTCATATGATTCCAGAAAACTCGATGTTTGTGATAAGCGAACTGACTTAAGTTTTAGAAATTTTAGATAAACTCACCCAATCAGGACATTGTCAGGTGGCAGTACTTTGTTATCTCCTTTTTGGATACTGGATGATGACAGAAGATGAAATGAAAATCTAGGCCGTGGCAGGAGTCGAACCAGTGGTCTCCGAGTTTCTTACCCAGTGCTCTATCCAGCATCAGTAATACAAGTTTAACCAAACCACGGCTATCTCAGATAGTCACACTGGTAGTTAATATCATGCTCCTCTCCTTTAATCTAGTGCTTTTTGAAATAGGATGAGAAGTCCTGGATGGACATTCAGTTTGAACACGATGAACGGATAGAAACGGACGGCGATTTTACATGGCAGTCATGTGAAACCCTTGGCGATCGAAGTAAAGTGAAGATCTAGTCTGAAACTGGGTTTTGTAGCTCAGTTGGTAGATCACCGGCCGGTAACCCGAAGGTTGCTGGTTGGGATCCTACAGCGGTCGAGATTTACCCTTTAGCTGCAGGCAACATCATGCAGCAACAGCAATCCAGACATGTTAAACGACGAATATCCCAGATAGACAAACTGATGTCACGCTTTTGTTGACAATTTTATACATCGGTGATAATGTTTTATTGATTGGAAACGTGAAAACTGCATCATGGCAAAGCCAGGGGAATTGTCTTCACTAATGAACAAATATATTTCATATGTACATGGGTTCTAAAAACAATGTCAATTTATGTATCTTTCCCGATCTCCTTTCGCTGTACACTGTAACGGAAAATTGATCTGAAAATCCCTCTGATCACCCTTATTTGATTGTATTGACATTTACCTTAGCATTTTTACCCTCGTCATGGATGGTGTACCTTTGACGCTAACCGGTGTAATGTTATTTGCTTGTTTGACTGTCTTATTTGACTTTGCACTCGGTACTTGCCTTTGTATGTTACGGACTTATTATGAATGTTTCACTTTCCTGTTATGTGACTCTGGACTGTTGACAAGGTGATGTTGTTTTACTGCGCCCGACATTTTGTTTTGGTTCAACTTACGGTTGTGCTGTGATTTGACTATTTGTCTTTTGACTGTCTACTGGGAACGTTTGTTTGTTGATTTGATTCCTGTAGGCCAAGTTTTGATCCCTTTTGTCGGGAATATTCCTATTGACCGACAGGTACTTAACAGTTGTATTTGTTTAACCAGTTTTTACCGTGTAGTACGCATTTGCACCCGAGAAAGTTTTGGACTGTATAGTTACCCAACGGCACTGTTGAGGTATTTTTGTAATTGTGACATAACTTATTGTTACTCTGATAGTATCACAGATTTTGTTACGAATCTACTATTGAATTACTACAAACCGTGTTTTGGTATTTTGATCCAACCTTTGACCGTGCGTCACTCGCGGAAGTTACGAAGCTATACAGTAGAACGCAGGAACTAGTCAGATTCACGTCAGTTGGCACCGCCTAGTTAGTTCCCGCGTTCAGGCCAAGATTATTGGATTCTGGCTGCCACATACACGTTAAGATATTGTTTTTTAAAGTATAAAAATGCAACTATCCATGCTTTTCGTGAAACCAGAAAGGGGTGTGTGTGGTAGGTTCATTGTGTTTCCCAGATGTCTCATTCATAGAAACTCTTGTTTCTGCAAAATATTTCATAATTAGCGTTTTTGTAGTATTCATAACAGACTGGCGTCATTTGAAGAACCAATGAAAACCTGGAAGTACTGAACACCTGTTCCATCCTAGTATGGGACACCCCAGCAGCGAGCGCCTGCGACCGTGTTAGGGATCAAACTCGGGACCTTCAGGTTTCAGACTTCTGTCAACTTGCGATATAGCCTTTGATGAATACTACCTTAAAAATCAAAATACCCACTGATCTCGAATACATTAGCGACAT